AAGCATATGTCCTGATGCTTGCTCAGCAAACCACCCATTGGGTCATCTCCCTCTTGCTCTTTTGTCCTTTGCATCTCTGTGAGAGGGAGAGACAGTTATGGCCTGATGGAGTCAAAATGTATATTTTCAATTTAGAACTCACTGTTGGCATCTCCAAAGTTATAAGATGATGGATATCATTTTAATGAAAACCATTTTTGGTTTGATGCTTATTATTTTCTTAGCATAAATTCTTGAGGTATAACTATAATGTCAAAGGGTATAATTAGTCTTAAGATGTTGATATCACCTAATTATCTCTTATAAATTATTTTTCAGTTTGCAATTTCCTCAGAAACTATTAAATCAATTTTACCAACAGAAACTAAATGCTTAGTTATTGACAAAGGTTATGCAATATTTGCATGGACTATTTTATTTGTTTTGTATTGCCTTTCCTTCAGTATTTATCACTTTATTTATTTGTTTATTTTATAAGGCATGGTCTGTCCATGTAGGTCTGGGAACTCCTTAGGTAGACAAGGCTGGCCTCAAACTCACAGAGATCGTATCTCTATCTCCCAAAAGGAATACTATCCCTACGCCTTGTGGATCTTTTTTCAGTTTCTCCAGTTCTTAAAGGATAAACATTCATGATTCTTACACATAATCACTTTGATTTTTCATCAGATTTGACTTTTAATTAGAGGGTCCATTTTGTTGATTTTAAGTTTTTTGTACATCAAAAAATTTTTAACACTTTTGGATATGCATTGTGAATAATTTCATTGTTTCCCCCTTATTTGATTATTCTTTGAACAATTTTGGGGATGAGTTTTACATAGTGAATTCAAATCAATTATCATTTATTCTATGTTTTCTATTCAGAAAGCTATTTTCTTTCTAAAAATAAGAATTTATTTACTCTTGCTTTCAATTAATTCAAGATTTAAAATAATTTAACTCTTATCTTGGTGGTACTATACATCTATAGTCTAAGTGACTGGGAAAAAGGGGTCCTCTGAGCTCAGAAGTTGTAGAGCAGAGTGATCCCCCACATTCTATTTATTCCTTGTGTAAATATTTCAGAACTGATGATAGCAGACACTAACAGAATTTTTCCAAAGTGCCTCAACAGGGTTTAATAAACAATCTTTCCCCCAAGACATTGTAACATTTTTTTTTTAAACCACAGTTGGCCCCAGGTTATACACTGGTGTATCAGGCAAAATTGTCACAGTGCCCGGCATGGAAAACGGACAGATTCAGGAAGTCCTGTGTGGTACCCACACTTCACTGAGTACAGTAGCTGACCAATAAACTCATATGAAACCCACAACTAATGAGTCACAGAAACAGTTGGAAAATTTAAACAAGCAACAATGTTCTTGATGATTTTCATTGTTCCCATTTGGGAAGGAAGGTGCTAAGTCAGGGTTTTTAGTGGCCACTTTAGCTTGAGGTCCTCTTCTATCTCCCACTGTCAGGATCAAGTCATTTCCATCTTTAGATCACGGCATTAATTTTGTGATTAGTTTTGTCACAACATTAGGACTAAATTTCATATCTCAACACCTTTCAGTTCATGATTCTCCAAAAACAGTTACGATGAAATGGGTCAGTTTTTTCCTCACACTTGAGTCTCGTGGTGTACAGACACCTTTAAAAGACAAAAAAAAAAAAAAAAAAAAAAAATCCTATGGATTGCCAATTATACTATTTTTATTAAACTGTCCCTGCCATTAGAGATACATAACAAAAAGCTGTGGTCCAGAATATGCATGATACTAATTAATTTCTTTAATATGACTTTCTTTTCACACATTGTAATTACAGCAAAGGCACAAATCTCCTGGATTAGGAGATCTTGGATGGGGTGGGGGCAGAAGAGCAAATGCCCTCATTCACGTCTGACAAGAGAATCTGGAGACTCACTGCACCTTGAACCCCACGGAACCCTCAAAGCCCTTTCTCTAGGCAGTGCAAATGCTCACCCGAACTCCAGGGCTCAACTTAAATGAGAACAGTCACTAGCCCAGATATCAGCTAATCTGCATACGTGTGTGACCATCAAAACCGAACGAGACAGGGACAAATTATAAACCTAACGCTTAAAATCACTTTCTTAATGATAGCATCCTGTTGAGTAGAGAGCTGTCTATCCTCATCACAAACAGGATGCTATTGCTAGGAAGGAGGAAGTGGTTTTTGGCTGTTTGTTTTTCTTTTTAGCTGTCTACAAGGATTTTATATGCCCACCACTGACTCAACAGACTATCAAAATCTGTTCCTTGCTTCAACCAGTAGCCTTGATTTTTCTTCTAGAATCCTTTAGAAGCTGAGCTGCAGCACACTGTCAGGATCTTTCCCAACGCTTCCTGTCCAGGAGCATCTCGCCAGCATTATTTGAGAGAATTGTTTTGGGAAGTTGGTAAGCCTAACAAAACTGATGTCTGCTCGATGCATTTAAATAAAACATGTTCTTCTATCCCAACACAAAATGTAAACTCTGGAACCAACAGGAAATGGCTTCGAGATACAAATGACTCAATTCAGCTATCTAAATATTTTAAATGAAAAGAATTAAAAACATTACAATTTCTGGCAAGTATCCTTTACAACCTCGAGTGCGGAAAGATGTGGTTATTACTAGTACGATTAAAAAGCTTAACTATAAAAGTGAAGCCGTCTGCAAAAATCTTATGGGATACATTCCCCACATTTTATAGAAAAATAGCATACAGGACTCTTAGGTTGCTCAAGACCCTATTTCCTAATAGTTTTTGAAATCTGTTGACTTTTAGAAATGAACATGTTGATCTGGGCGTAAAGGAGGAGGATATGCAGAAAACAGAGAAGGCGCCAATTCACAATGCAGCCGGCAGTTAATTAAGAGGAGTTGGGCTCCCTGAAACATATGACTGAGATTGGAGAAGCTTAGACTGACAGAAGATTTATTTCCTCCAAGTTGCTCTAAGGGTGTGATTTCTCTATTTCTCTATTTCTCTCTCTCTCTCTCTCTCTCTCTCTCTCTCTCTCTCTCTCTCTCTTCACTAGGGTTAAATCAGTGGGTTGGCTCTTGGGGTGGAGGAGGCAGTGATTTCCCACAGAGCCCTTTTGTACTCCAGAGACATCTGCTTGTCGCTATTGGGATGGGAGAGGTGTCCTATGGAATCTGAGGAGTACTAGTCAAGGATGCTGCTAAATATATTTCAACATGCAGAATGGCAAACCAGTTATCCAGCTCAAAGTACCAACAGTCCCAACGTTGAGAACTCCTGGAAGCAGGTCCCTATGCCAGAGGGCTTCGCCCTATGTGCACAGGGCTTGTGAGAAGTTGTATCTATGTCTGCTCTCTTATCTTACCTATACGTACGTACACATAAAGTACAGTACAAGGCCACAAGTACTACACAGAATCCTCCCATACAACCTCATAGAACTCCGCGTAGTCACAGGAGAGCTGTTAGAAGGTCTTGAGCTAGCCACAGGAAGAACACAAAGCAGGCCAAGCTCCCTCGATTCACCTATCAGCAAGCCCTTATTAAACTAAATTCACACGCACAACCAGGCATGATGATATACGACAACCAACCAAACCCCCTCGCTGCCTGACCTCCTGGAGGGGACTGTAAACATTTGGAGGACTAAAAGCCTATACCAGCTTGAAGAGGTAGCTGCATTGGAGCCTCACAACCGCTGCCTGTCATTTCCCCCTCTTCAGTTAAAAGTGTGTTCAAGGTCAAACAGTGAGGACTGACCCTTCAGCTAAATGTCACCGATGGCTCTGTTGCATTGTTTCATTGAGCAGGGATACAGATTGGTAGTCTTGCCTTGATCTGACCTGGAGTTTCCTCTCCTGATCTCCACCAAATACAACTACATGGCCTTTCTAAACACAAACACAAAAGAACCAACAAGCTCCTTGTCTTTTTGCTTACACAATACCTGAAGGCTATTTTCTAGCTGTTCCTTGCACACACATGCCTGTGTTACTAGCACGGCTGCAAACTCCTGCAAAGGCCAGACCTTCCATTTCCTTTGCAACCGTCTGCAGTGCTGCAGCCAGCGACCCAACAAATGCCCTCTGCATGAAGGGACCTGTAGGGATAAAAAAATACTTCATGGTTTTCCCATTTATTGGTGTCACGATTTTACTTTGCTTTGTGAGAGGATTGTACATTATAAGCTTCTAGAGGGCAAATAAAATGGTTTGGTGCTTCCACACACTAAGCGGGCACCATGTAAAATTTGATCCTTGCATGCCTTTTTTTTTTTTTTTTTTTGAAGCTCCAGATAATATTAGCACACTGGGGTGTTTTTGTGTATCTAAGGACCGAGGTTGTCAGTCTCTCTGCGGCGGGGAATGTTCCTTCCTTCCCACTGTAAGCTCCCATGGCGCCTAGGACAGGGCGGGATTATTGCAGAAGCCCCCTTCCCCCGCGACTTGCTTTTTATTATTACCAAGGAAGCAGACTGCGAAAATGGCAAACGCTTGCATAACCCCAGACCCTGCGAGGAAATGAGCAGGGTGGAAGGGGAACAGCAGGCAGGGCAGCGATGGCCTGGTCAAGGCGGAGCACTGAACACCCACCCCTCCGCCTGACAGGCAGGATTGGAGATGGAGTGCACGAGCCCCCGCAGTCCCCGGCAGGCTGCCTGCCGCTCGTCCGCCCCGCGCCCCGGGAGCTGTCCAGACGGCCCCGCCCGCGCCTACCTGGCCGCTCCCCGCGCCGCACTCCCCCCCCCCCCCCCTGCGTCCCGCCAGCCCTGCTGGTAGCAGCCCGCAGCCCGGGCGGCCTGAGGGGTCGGGGGTCGGGCGACAGGCGAGCGCGGCTAGGCTGGCGGGCTCCCCGGGGCCGGGCGCCTGCAGGGGGCGCGAGGAGCGCCCCGCCCCGCCGCCGGCCCTCTCCCTCCCGGCTCCCTGGATCCGCGCCGGGAGGAAATGATGTGTTGCTGCCTGGTTAATCACAGCTCCAGACACTCATTGGCCGAGCGCTCCGCAGCCACTTCCTCCTCCTCCTCCTCCCGCTCCAGCTCCCGGTCGCCGCCGCCGCCGCCGCCCCCAAGCGCTGGGGGAACTTTGCTGCCGCCGGCTCCCCGCCGCCCCCGGCCGAGCCCCGCGTCGCCGCAAGTTTCCTCCGCCCTCCTCCCCGCCCTCCGCCTCCCGCCCCGCGCCAGTCGTCTTCCCAGCTCCAGCCCTCTCCCTGCCGCCAGCCTGCGTGCGCCCCGGCCCCGTGGCTGCCAGGCTCCCGCCCCGTGCCTCGCCGCGCTCCGCCGCCGCCGCCGCCGCCGCCGCCGCCGCCGCCGCCGCTGTCGCTGCCGCCGGGGCCACCCGCCCGCGGCCCGCGGAGTTCCGGGCTCCTCGCCGGCTGCAGCGCCCCGCCCCGCCCCGCGCCTCCCGCGCCGCCTTGCAGCGCCCCGCCGCCTCGCGCTCTCCGCCTCCCCGGGTTCAGCACCCGGCCGCCGCTGGACCAGAGGTGAGGACAGGTCGCTGGCCGCGCCGCCGGAACCGGGAGGATCGAAGGAGGAGGAGGAGGGAACCTAGCTGGAGGCGAAGCCGGGATCGGGGGTGGAGGGTGGGCGTCTCGGTGCCTCCCCCTCGCTTTCATTCTTTCTCCGGCAAGCTGCGTGCCCTCTCGACAGGGGGAAGCCGCGGCGGAACGAAACTGTCTTGCTAAGGGCCTCGGCTGCGGGTGGGATCCGGGGAGGGCAGAGGCTTGGAGCTGGGGGCTCGAGTGTGCTCGGGTGTGCGAAGGGTGAACTCCTGCAGGGTGTTCGCCTCGGACTTAAAAATCGATTTGGCCTCCCGGCCCCGGGCTCACCTTCCAAGCTGAGCTTGGCAGACTAAAGAGATTGGCGAGTCACCCCCACCCTCAAAATATCCATCCCTTCCAAGAGGAATTTTCTGCTGGAGAAACAGCCAATAAACTCTGTTCAACTCCCTCCCTCCCTCTGTCCTTCCTAGCTGCAGTTTCAAAAAGCTTCAAAGCCAGGAATGTGGGATTCATCTTGCGATCCCCAGAAGGCAGATGTGGTTACAGATGTTGCACGGTACTTTGCCAAGTTTAAAACCCTTCCTTCAACACTAACCAAAACAACGAGGCTAGAACCTTTAGGCGCCCTGGGGAGAATTGTGGGCCTCTGGGTCACTGCGTGCATGGACTTCCGTCTGGTTCAGAGACTGGCTTGGCTCTGTCCAGTTTGTGCCAGATACGTCTCCCACCCTTCCCTACCTCCCTTTACCCCTGGAGTTCTGAACAACCACCCCCTTGCATGGCAGAGGAGTGGTGGAGGAAGCTACTTGAAAAAGAAAAGAAAAGAAAAAAACCCATCCATTTTGTAGCAGAAGAAAAGTGTTGGTTAAAAAGTTGTCATTCATTTGGTGTTTGGAGAGAGGCAGACTGTAATGCGGTGGATTTGTTCCCTTTATTGGCTTTTTCTGCTTTGCGGTTTGGGTGAATGGTATGAGATGATGGGAACTATCTCTGATCCCACACATGTTTAATATAATTGTATGTATAAGTATTTACGTTTGCTTAGCTATGTCATTTTTGAAAAAAAAAAAAAGATAAATCCCCAAATTGAGACCTAACCCAGTGAGTTTAAAGAATCCTGTTCCTGAGAGGCAGACTGCTCTGACAGCCCAAGGGAAGGCGGTGGCAAAAAATAGACACCACCTCCCTTTTCCCCAAAAAATTCTTCCTGGAAAGGTGGTGTTAAGAAACTTCAGAGATGGGCTGATCCAAGTGGCGGGCCTTAAATGGAAACACTATAGTATGTCCTGGCACTAGTCTCTGGAGGTGGGTTGCTGGCCGGGGGCCCAGGCTTGGGCAGGCGGCAGACACTAGACTGGTGCTGACCTCAGACACTGCCTTGCCATGCTGATCTACAGTTGGCACACTGCTTAAGTATGAAACCCAGGCCTCACCCATGGCACTCCTGGAGACAAGTGCGGTCACGAGGTTATTTTAAGTCTGGATAGGCTCTGGATTACCATGCAAAGATCCAGCCCCTTGTTCTGTGATTCGGTTACTTTTGTTTTCTGTCCCGGGGCTGATGAATGGAAGGAAGCCTTCTGTGGTAGAGCTGCGGGGCCTTAGGTTGCTGTTGCTTTGTAATGGGCCATAGCATCTCTGCTGCCATTGTATATGTGAATCCTTCCGAGGTGACGAGTGACTGAGGAGATAAACCCTGGCTAGACGACGGAGATCAAGGACCGGCATGGGCATGCGCTGGCTTTGTGCTCTCTCTTTCCACTGTGTCGCTGAGTTTTGCTGGAAACAGAGCGTGGTTTTTTTTTTTTAGATCAAACTTGATTGAGATAATAGTCTTACAACTTTTGCGCGTTGGACTAAAAGTGATCACTTGAATCTGAATAAGTTTCTTGTAATTGCTAAGTAATTACAGAGAATATTAAGGATGCGGAGTTAAAATGCCATATTCAGGAATGTAATGCGTTTCAGGAGTGAGGAACTTAATTTGATTAATAGCATTGTAATGAATGCCCTCCCCTCCAGACTGGTAATTTACTGAGTTTTCTCTCTGAACTCAGGCAACGGGTGACAGTGGCTGAGTTGGTAAATAGAGGGTATCTTACCCACGCTTCTGCTCTTCCTAAGGCTGTACTGCGATTTGGTCACGACAGGCTTCTAGGTATTCCTTTAGGTTGGATGGAGTCGTCAGTGAGTCGAGGGAGAGACAGGACAGAAATGGATTTGAAAAATGATCTTGCTCTCCAAGGTCACAAAGTAAAGAAAGAATCAATGCTGGGACCTGATCGCTCCTCTGTGGCTTCCTTGACTTGTTGTTGGGTTCTTCTATCACGATTCATTCTCATGTGATCGAATCTCATGACCAGCTCACCAGGGATTATGGAGAAGCAAAGTATGAGGGGGGGGGGCAAACCCTTTGATATGTTCATGTAGAGTTAAAGATAGGATGAAGGGATGTGCCGAGTATGAGCCATGCAGCATGCCCGCCTCCGTATGAACACTTTGCACGCTTTCCCTTGTGCGCTTCTCCTGCAGGAACCCGAGGCTCGGCAGATTTAGGCTGAGGAGTTCCTATTTGACTCCATAACTCCTGGGACTCCAGAACACATGGCCCAGGCTCTTGTCGCCAGTGCTTGTCAAACTTTTTTTTTTTTTTCCAGCAGCAGCTCATTGTCACTTAACTTAATTATTTCATATCGTGCTTCTTCGGTTTTAGATTTATTTATTTATTTTTTATTTTACGTTATTGGTGTTTTGCCTGCGTGTATGTCCGTATACCTCAAGCAGTGTCTGTGCAGGCCAGAAGAGGGTGTTGGATCCTCTGAAACTGGAGTTATGAACCCTTGCTAGCTGCCGTGTAGATGCTGGGAATCGAACCTGGGTACTTTGGAAGAGCGGCCAGTGCTCTTAGCTTCTAAGGCAATCTCTCCAGCCCCCTTTAATATTTTTCTTTCCCAATAATTTAAAAACACCATCTTTTAAGAAGCAGCCAGCTCTTGGATTAGGGAACAAGGCAATCATGAAGATAGAATCGACTTATACTGAGCCCTCAAATGCAAGGCGGTGGTTACGTGTATCTGTGCTGCAGGGACCTGGGGTAAGGGCAAAGAAGGTCACACTATTGGTGACATTCAGATATTTTGATTGGGAATCGAGTTCATGGGTGCTGATTTTAGTTTTACACCTCATAAGCTACATACATGCTACATTTTTTTTCTCTGTGAAACGATAAAGAAAATTAAACATAGTAATTAGCATAATGATTACTTGGGGGATTACTTCACTGCACTTTGCTGACTGTAGCCCCTAGCTTGCTTCCTTGCATGAAGGAGACACCTTTACTATTGGCTGGTTGACAAAACCATGGGTAATCATTTAAAGCTGATGAGTAAAGTTGAGAGTATTGCCCCTTGTCTGTTTTCCGCTTCTTCTGCCCTCATTCACGGTATCATGAGTGCCGGGACAGCCCGGGCTTTGCAGGGGTTTCTCCTGCGAGGCCTGGGCTGCGCTGCAGCTGGCCCTTTTCAGCGTCACCTTGGGTTGTATATCTCGTCTCCAGGATGGGGCCCAGAATGGAGTCACAAAGCGTTTTTGTGCTTGTGTGTCTAGCGGTGAAGCGAAGTGACTGCTCGGGACTGGAGTGCTGTGGAAGGGGGAGCAGTGCCTGGGGAAAGTGTTAGCAGTGTTAAGTTGGGGAGGCTGGGCAGTGAAGGATTTTAATTGGAACCCACAGCCTCCTGTGTTATTTTCCCAAGCAAGTTTTGGGCACTGTGGCTTTATTCCTGGAAATGAGGATTTGGAATTAGGTTTCCTGGTACCGAATGCCTTCTTTGATCTTTTGGAATGAAAACTCGGTGTTTTTTTCCCCCGTCCCTGTGGCCAGTTCTAGCTTAGAAGATCCGAAGGAAAGATTGACCTCTTTTTTTTTTTTAAGCCATTTTTGATAGTCCTGCTAGTTTAAGAATCAGAAGCACAGGGGCCTGGAGAGATGGTTCAATGTTGAGAGCACTGACTACTCTTCCAGAGGACCTGAGTTCAATTCCCAGCACCCACATGGCAGCTCACAACTGTCTGTAACTCCAGTTCCAGGGGACCCAGCATTCAGGACAAAACACCAGTGCGCATTAAAGAAAAAAACAATCAGAAACCCCACACTAGGTTTGGTCTGTTGCAAAGTACAGTCTAATAAAAACCTCTGTCAGAAAAAGCTTCATGGAATTGGTTTGGCTGGTGCATCCTGGCTTTTAGTTGAGATGGAAGGTGGTTTTACGCCTACCCCCACCCCAGCTAACTAATAAGAGACCCATCAGGATAAAAAGAAAAAGGGAGGCTGCTGTGGTAGCCTAGTGGTTCAAGTCCCTGCATCACCAATGGGGGCCAGGGAAGACAAGGAGACGAAAACTCAGCTTCCTTGATAAAAATGAACACACACGTCCACCCTCCCCACTCTCCACAACTGCCCTCCCAGGCAGGGTTGGGAATCTGAGCCTGTTTGTGAGGATCTTCCCAGGTCCTGAGAGCTCTGCTTGCCAGTTTCCACTGCTTCATTGTTTGACTTCGGGGTTTTCGGTCCCAGACCAACATTCCACTTTGCCCATTAGGGTTGCTTCACTGTTTACTCTGGGTGCTTGGCCTTTATTTCAGTGACTGGGAAAGCCATTTCAGATTCCGCTCTTTCTAAGTTCTTTTTTTTTTGTTTTTTGTTTTTTGTTTTTTGTTTTTTGTTTTTCGAGACAGGGTTTCTCTGTGGCTTTGGAGCCTGTCCTGGCACTAGCTCTGTAGACCAGGCTGGTCTCGAACTCACAGAGATCCGCCTGCCTCTGCCTCCCAAGTGCTGGGATTAAAGGCATGCGCCACCATCACTTTCTAAGTTCTGTGCAGATACATATAGTGGCAGAGGGCGAAGTAAGCAGCCATAGCACAGATGTCCTGTCGGGTCTCCGAGGCCAACTCTCCACCCACACCATAAGGACTGACCTTGACTC